GCTATAATACCACCAATATGCAAGAATCAAAATTTGAAGCAAAGAAAAAGGCCACATTTATGGTAGACGTTGCTTCCCTAAGCTATGGAAATTTTAATACACTATGTTAATTCTTCATGTCAAGTTTAGATATTGAGAAATAATAAGTCAATAATTCACATTTACAAAGTGCTTCGAATATATCAACCATATATGTACTGACTCACATCCATTATGCTAGGAGAAAAATGCTATAATTGTCCTGCTTTTACTCAGGATGTAAACTGAGATGAAATTACTTACATGAGATGACATAGATTTCTATGATGGTAATTGGTGGGGACTGGATTAAAGGAAGCTATATGGGTGCAGAACACATAATACAAAATCTCCCACAATTCTTTACTTCTATAAAGAAACAGTGTACTGAACATGTTTAGATTATCTCCCTAGAAGAGTCCAGAGGTTACTCCTCTCCAGTGCAACCTTCATACCAACAGTCTTTTGTGGTATTTCAGATACTGCCATTCCAAAGACAAAAAAAGACAACATTTTCACACTTGAAAAATTTGAAGGACAGAATTAAAAATTAATGACTATATGGAAGTTATAATCTAAAGGAAAACATAGTATGTGCTCCAGACTGAGCGGGTTAGGCATTAGCACTTCCATGAGGAGAGAAGAAATCTACAATACCATTGATTGGAAGAACAAGTGGAGTATGAGCTAAAATTACTTTTTAAAAAAATTTTACTATTTTTTTTTCAGTTCCTGAAATGGAACTAGATTTCTTGTGGGGTAGGCCAATACTCTGCCATAGAGCCATACACCATTCCTCAAGTTAAAGTTGATAATGGAAATAATTGCCTATCCTACTCCAAAGATTGTTTTTAGTAAATAATGCTTCTAGTGATTGTAAAATGTGCCAAAATGACAAAAATATTGCAATAAAAGTGTTGCAACTTCTAAAACTTCTGGTTTACTTTGCAGAAACACATCATTTACTATCACTTTCCCATGAAGGTGAACAAACATTCCAGATTCAGTGCTTTTAGAAATGCCTTCAACTCTCAGACTTGCATTGGGATCTCAACAAACATCTGTATGCTTGGCCTTCACATTGCCACAGTCTTTGTGGGCCACAAGCCATGGCTTACTGATGTCCCTGTCACCCACTTGGCTCCAAAACACATCCTCATGCTCCTCTCCATGAGACTTTTGTTATCTACAGACATTTGGAAAGCAAAGGACATTCCAGGTAACTTCAAATGAAAGGCACTACTCTTCCTGCACAAGGTCATGAGGATACTGTGTCCTGTGTCCTGATTGTGCTTCAGGCTGTCACCATTAGTATCCAGTGTCTCCTTGTTGGCCAACTTCAAATTTAAATCTGCAAACCCCATTCTGTGACTATTTCTGTTCTTGTGGGTCCTCCCCATGTCCATTAATAGCAACAACCTTCTCTGCATGGTGGCAACATTCAATTAAATTTGTTAGGT